GGGGAAAAAATTTCCATAATAATCATAATCACATCAGCAAGAGTGTCGTTTTTTTACAAAATATCTGCAAATATGAGACATACAAAAAGAAGTTAATATTTTGACACACCATTGCCTTTTTTGAATATATATATATATATATTTGTATTTCATACATACCCGTGTCTGAATGCCGGCCATGGACGCCCTCTTTAACCCCGCGACGCCCGGCCTGTTGGAGATGACCACCACGATCTCCGCCGAGCTCGAGGGCTTCTTCGCCTGCTCCATCAGCGCCTGCAGGTTCGTTCCTGACACACACACACACACACACAGGATCTGAATCAGAAACTTTTTGTGCATGTTTTCTGACTGAATGGCCCAGCGTGAAATACCCTGATATCAACATTTGATCAAAAGCTTTTGGACGAATACCAATTTGCCAAAGCTAGCTAGCTAATATATATATTCAGTAGAGTTAGCTTCAGTAAAGCTAGCTTCAGTAGAGTTAGCTTCAGTAAAGTTAGCTTCAGTAGAGTTAGCTTCAGTAAAGTTAGTTTCAGTAGAGCTAGCTTCAGTAAAGTTAGCTTCAGTAGAGTTAGCTTCAGTAGAGTTAGCTTCAGTAGAGCTAGCTTCAGTAGAGTTAGCTTCAGTAAAGTTAGCTTCAGTAGAGTTAGCTTCAGTAGAGTTAGCTTCAGTAGAGTTAGCTTCGGTAGAGTTAGCGTCGGTACAGTTAGCTTCAGTAGAGTTAGCTTCAGTAGAGTTAGCTTCAGTAAAGTTAGCTTCAGTAGAGTTAGCTTCAGTAGAGTTAGCTTCAGTAAAGTTAGCTTCAGTAGAGTTAGCTTCAGTAGAGTTAGCTTCAGTAAAGTTAACTTCAGTAGAGTTAGCTTCAGTAGAGTTAGCTTCAGTAGAGTTAGCTTCAGTAGAGTTAGCTTCAGTAAAGTTAGCTTCAGTAAAGTTAGCTTCAGTAAAGTTAGCTTCAGTAAAAGTTAACTTCAGTAGAGTTAGCTTCAGTAGAGTTAGCTTCAGTGAAGTTAGCTTCTGTAGAGTTAGCTTCAGTAGAGTTAGCTTCAGTAGAGCTAGCTTCAGTAAAGTTCGCTTCAGTAGACTTAGTTTCAGTAGAGCTAGCTTCAGTAAAGTTAGCTTCAGTAAAGCTAGCTTCAGTAGAGTTAGCTCAGTAGAGCTAGCTTCAGTAGAGTTAGCGTCAGTAGAAGTTAGCTCAGTAGAGCTAGCTTCAGTAGAGTTAGCGTCAGTAGAGTTAGCTTCAGTAGAGCTAGCTTCAGTAGAGTTAGCGTCAGTAGAGTTAGCTTCAGTAGAGCTAGCTTCAGTAGACTTAGTTTCAGTAGAGCTAGCTTCAGTAGAGTTAGCTTCAATAAAGTTAACGTCAGTAAAGTTAGTTTCAGTAGAGCTAGCTTCAGTAAAGTTCGCTTCAGTAGACTTAGTTTCAGTAGAGCTAGCTTCAGTAAAGTTAGTTTCAGTAGAGTTAACTTCAGTAGAGTTAGCTTCAGTAGAGTTAGCTTCGGTAGAGTTAGCGTCAGTACAGTTAGCTTCAGTAGAGTTAGCTTCAGTAGAGTTAGCTTCAGTAAAGTTAGCTTCAGTAGAGTTAGCTTCAGTAGAGTAGCTTCAGTAAAGTTAGCTTCAGTAGAGTTAGCTTCAGTAGAGTTAGCTTCAGTAAAGTTAGCTTCAGTAGAGTTAGCTTCAGTAGAGTTAGCTTCAGTAAAGTTAGCTTCAGTAAAGTTAGCTTCAGTAAAGTTAACTTCAGTAGAGTTAGCTTCAGTAGAGTTAGCTTCAGTGAAGTTAGCTTCTGTAGAGTTAGCTTCAGTAGAGTTAGCTTCAGTAGAGCTAGCTTCAGTAAAGTTAGCTTCAGTAGACTTAGTTTCAGTAGAGCTAGCTTCAGTAAAGTTAGCTTCAGTAAAGCTAGCTTCAGTAGAGTTAGCTTCAGTAGAGCTAGCTTCAGTAGAGTTAGCGTCAGTAGAGTTAGCTTCAGTAGAGCTAGCTTCAGTAGAGTTAGCGTCAGTAGAGTTAGCTTCAGTAGAGCTAGCTTCAGTAGAGTTAGCGTCAGTAGAGTTAGCTTCAGTAGAGCTAGCTTCAGTAGACTTAGTTCAGTAGAGCTAGCTTCAGTAGAGTTAGCTTCAATAAAGTTAACGTCAGTAAAGTTAGTTTCAGTAGAGCTAGCTTCAGTAGAGTTAGCTTCAGTAAAGTTAGCTTCAGTAGAGTTAGCTTCAGTAGAGTTAGCTTCAGTAGAGTTAGCTTCAGTAAAGCTAGCTTCAGTAGAGTTAGCTTCAGTAGAGTTAGCTTCAGTAGAGTTAGCTTCAGTAAAGTTAGCTTCAGTAGAGTTAGTTCAGTAAAGTTAGTTCAGTAAAGTTAGCTTCAGTAGAGTTAGCTTCAGTAAAGTTAACGTCAGTAAAGTTAGCTTCAGTAGAGTTAGCTTCAGTAGAGTTAGCTTCAGTAAAGTTAGCTTCAGTAGAGTTAGCTTCAGTAGAGTTAGCTTCAGTAGAGTTAGCTTCAGTAGGTTAGCTTCAGTAAAGTTAACGTCAGTAAAGTTAGCTTCAGTAGAGTTAGCTTCAGTAGAGTTAGCTTCAGTAGAGTTAGCTTCAGTAAAGTTAACGTCAGTAAAGTTAGCTTCAGTAGAGTTAGCTTCAGTAGAGTTAGCTTCAGTAAAGTTAACGTCAGTAAAGTTAGCTTCAGTAGAGTTAGCTTCAGTAGAGTTAGCTTCAGTAGAGTTAGCTTCAGTAGAGTTAGCTTCAGTTATTGAGAGGATATGTGCACCTTTGGGGTTTGTAGTCTTTGTAATTTTGTATAACTGTGACTTTCTTGACTTTAAAATGTATCTTTTAAATTGACAAACATCATATGTGTAATTCAGGGCACAATTCAAACAGATCAAAATATTTGAGCCATACAATATTTTCAGAAATAATCCCATGGTCGAGCGGAAGGGGAGGGGCTTCGGCTCTCTATAGCGCTGGTTTAGGCCGACTCTGAACGAGGAGTACATTAGTTCCTCCACTAGGAGTTCCTCCAGCAGAAATCGGTCCTTGTTCCGAAAACCAGGAGCTTCCGCCAATAGTTCTAGGAACTATGAAACGGTTCTTCCCCTAGTGTAACTTTCCCCAACCCTGATCAGGATCTCGTAACAGAACACACACACACACACACAACACGGTTCCTGAGATCAGCACGGCCACTCGGGTCCTCTTGCGCGAGGATTGTTCCCCATGAAGAGACCCGTTCTGCAGAGCGCTGGTGTCGGGAGAGCGACCCGGACTCTCCTTCAGACTCCGCTCCAGGTTCCTGATCAGCACCGGCTCCGAACCTACATGTTCAGCAGAAACACACACACACACACTTACTCAGATCATATATATTCAACAGCAGCAGAAACACACACAGACTGACTCAGGTCCTATACGTTCAGCAGCAGCAGCAGTGTGTGTGTGTGTGTGTGTGTTCTGACCGTGTTGTCTGTGAGTGAGTGACCCGATGACCCAGGCCTCCTCTTGGGCCCTCAGGAGCCTCAGCACCCGTTGGCCCTCAGGTCTGCTGACCACGAGCACGGCCCCCAGGCCGAGGTTAAAGGTGCGGCTCATCTCCTCCTCCGACACGCACCCGTGAACACACAGCCACGAGAACACACACGGGATCCTCCAGCGCGACGCGTCTGAAACAAAGCGGATCAGAGAAAATATTACAATATTACCGTCACAAACACACACTTAAACACAATCAAATATTACCGTCCAAACCTTTCCCAAAATAAATAAACTTTAACTTTATTTGTAATACCTTAATATAATTATACACACACATATATACACATAGATATACATATATATTAAATAAAGTCAAATTTAGGACTCATTTTTAGATTTTTAATAAAATTGTACAAAATTATACCTTATCTTCATTTAACTGCATTTATCGGTCACTGAAAGCCAGAATATTACCGGTAAGTTTATTATATTACTATGAAATCAGAATATTTGATTACAATTTTTAAAATTATATTATTTATTAAAATGTATTTATTAAAAGATTTGTTGCAAATTTAATTACAACCCGTATTACATTCTTGCTTTCTATGATTGATATGCAGTTTATTATTTAATTTTATGAGAACAAAATAAATTCAGTTTGTATACTTCTATTTTCTATACTAAATTGTAAAAAAAAAAAAAAAATCCAATTTAGCATTATTTGTATTAAAATTTTATTACAAACTAACTTATTGTGACTGTGTGATTGACAGACAGTTTATCATTACAATATTTTTGAGAACAATATTAATTCAGTAATCAGGTGTTGTGGTTGTTTTGCACAATTGAATCTGCAAAATCAAAAAATATTTTTTCATTAATTTAACATTATTAGTTTTAATTACAAACCCTGACTTATTTTTTGCTGATTGATTGACACAAAGCTTATCATTATACATGATATCCATGTTTCAGTGCAAACTGTTCAAAGGGCTTTAAACGATTCCATAAAGGACTCGTTGATCAAAAATGAACGAATCTTTTTTCGTGTCATTTGGTTCTTTCAAGGAATGAAATTAATGAGTTGACTCAAAAAAAGATTCGAACAGGAGAGTCACGGACGCGCATCACAGAACAGAGCAAGGCGAGCATTTGAGCTCATAAAACTTAAACTTTGTTATTTATTTATTAAACGAGCGATCGTTTCGCTTGATAAGACCCTTATTCATCGTCTGGAATCGTTTAAAGCCCTTTGAACAGTTTGCACTGAAACTGTCTTTTGGACCTTGAACCGTTTGGACCCCATTGAAGTCCATTATATGGAGAAAATCCTGGAATGTTTTCATCAAAAACCTTAATTTCTTTTCCACTGAAGAGAGAAAGACACGGACATCTTGGATGACATGGGGGTGAGTAAATTATCAGCAAAAGTTTTTTTAAAAATGAACTATTCCTTTAAGCAGCTTATAATTATAATAGTTATATGAGATCAGAATACAAACTCTATAATCAGTGATTTTATCTTGTTTTGCACATTCAATTGTGCAAAAAAAACCCCGTTTATTTTGGTGTATATTTCCTCTCTCACTCACCGAGGTCCACTGCCAGCTCTGGCGGGAGAACACGAGGGATGTTCTCCAAGAGCCCGCCTCCGGTGATGTGGGCGTAGGCCTTCACGGCCCCGCTGCGCAGGATTGGCTGAAGCAAACGGCTGTAGATCTTGGTGGGCGTGAGCAGGACGTCACCTTCAGACACAGAGCAGACGTGAGGACTCAATACATCCATGCATCGAGAAATGACTGAATCGATTCTTTAGTTGCGTTTTTAACAGATCGATTCACACACACACACTAGTTTGATCTCGCCGCTGAAACTGCTCTCTCCGCGAAGCTTTGCGTTTAAAGAGCTGATCAAATATTTCAGCTCAGATCAATGTTTGGCGTCTAATTATTTACTGATGTCGCTTGTTCACTTTCACTGAAGTAATAGAGTTTGGAAGTGATGATGTCACTTTGTAGGCCGACTCGGAAGCTAGCGGCGCATGGGTTAACTCGATCGGAAAGCTGTGCATTTTCCCCATAGACTTTTGCAAAATCACAAAAAATAGATCTGTGTTCAACAAAGAGTTGTTACCCTTACACATTTTGTCTATCAAGATAATCTTTACAAGTTTTGGTACATAATTTTCACTTATCAGAAGGATCTTTGTAGGGAGAATGTAATTTTTATATTACACATATGTAATATTTTTCAATTAATTTAATTTTGTATTATTCTAATTTTTTTATATTACTTATTTCTTTTTATTCTATTTATTTATTTTTTTTGCTATTGGATTGAGTAGGGAGATCATGTAAGGGATAAATAATGGACAATATTTTACTGTGTACCATTTATGATGTGTTATTTTGTATTGTCATTTAAAACCAATAAAAACATTTGGAGTAAAATGTATACATTTTGAAGCCTATATAAAGTTTTTAAAAAACATAAGCAGACACAAAGTTTAAAAAAAAAAAACACGATCTGTTTATAACAGTGTGTTTATTGTCATAGATCAAAACATGAACATATTTAGAGGTTTATCACCACAGACCTTATTTCAGGCGATTTAGCACAAACCCGTTCAGAAATCCCATAGGCTTTAGAGCGAGGGAAACGGGAGTGCTAAAATGCTAACTCACTTCCGCGTTTGGCCTACAGAGTGACATCATCACTTCGGCACTCTATTGCGAATATTAAGCATTTGGTGAACAGAAAAGATTATTTACCATCATCCGACATGTTCTGTGTGCTCTATTGATCTGTCCAACTAACACACATTTTTGGTAAAAAAAAACAACAAACAGTTAAAGGGATAGTTCACTTTGAAATTAATTTTTGATATGTTTTAGCTTTTAGCGTTTCGTGTCTTAGGCCATCAACGTGTACTTACATTTACGAGTCATTAAATCATGTTTAATCTGGACTTCTCTGTGCATGCTCTTTGAGGTGGTGACCATAGACCTCCATTATATGACTGACACACAACAACGGTTTGACCTAAAAATATCAAAATTGAAAATACTGTGGAAACAAAGACACCTACATCTTGGATGCCCTTGAGGTGAGCTAAAACATATCAAAAATTAATTTCAAAGTGAACTATCCCTTTAAAATCAGTTCCCTATTAGAGCCCGGCCGATAAAGGATTTTGAAGGCCGATACCGATACAAATATTTTTGGGTTTTAAAATCCGATATTCCGATATATATATATATATATATATATATATATTTTTTTTTTCAGAAACGCGCAGATTTCCCTAAAATAGTTATTTGTAGTTATTTATGAGTTTTAACTAAAATAATATGATAAAGCATTTTAAAAAGAAACTTGTTTCTTTTATGGTCACAACAGAACAGAGGAACATCAAAATATATTAAAGTTCTGATAAATAAAATAATAATTAGTCCCTACATTGCCTTATAATCATCAGTTGCTGCCTGCCTTCTAAAACCTACTATTTAGCGATTCTAAATCCATTACAGAACGACAGATATTTTGAAAAATGCCTAATATCGGCCGATAATATCGGTCTGGCTCTATTCCCTATTTTCGTTTGTGTTAGTGTTGGTCCAAACGATTTCCGAGCGTATCTCGGACTCGTCATACCGATGGTCTGTCCCGGGCGTCCGAACGGAGCCGGTGAGTCGTACTGCAGGTCGAGCCGCTCCAGGACGGCGCGCACGAGGCTGAAGCCGTTGCTATGGAGACCCGACGACGCCACGCCGATGAGCAGATCCCCCTCCGCGATGTCCCTGAGTCTGGGCAGAACGGCCCCGCGCTCCACCGCCCCCACGCAGAATCCCGCCAGATCGTACTCCCCGGGGCCGTACACACCCGGCATCTCCGCCGTCTCTCCTCCTGCACACACACACACACACACCTCGTCTCACACACAGATTTCTGCATCAAAACAATTCATATACAACCATGCACAAATATTTTTTTGTTTATGCTCAAAACAGCAACATTACACACTAAGTGTGTGTGACACGATGAGTGTGTGTGACTGACCTATCAGCGCACACCCGGCCATCTGACAGGCGTCTGCGATTCCTCCGATCACAGAAGACGCGACGCCGACGTCCAGACGTCCACAGGAGAAGTAGTCGAGGAAGAACAGCGGCTCCGCTCCCTGAGCCAGAACATCGTTCACACACATCGCCACCAGATCCTGTCCCAGAGTGCCGTGCAGGCCGCACGCCTGAGCCACCTACACACACACACACACACACACACACAGATGATGATCCGGTGTCACTGAAGCAAAACTTATAAACTCAGAATTCATTTTGTGAAAACCGTTTTATAATTGAACGTTGCGTTACCATAGAAACGGTACTTATTTGATCAGGCTCCTCCCCTTTTGGGCATCATTATATTTCATAATTTATGACCAAAATCTTTTCTAACCCTAACCCCTTAACTGTCACGTCCCGGTACCGGGACGCCTAACTTTACTTAACTATATTTCTATTAAATCCTAATCGAATTATGACAAATTATATATCGTTGGAAAGGTCTAAGACTTCTATATAGATATTCTACCCCTGTTTTGTGTTACAAATTATGTAGGAAGAGTAATTGATGAATTATAAAAAAATCTGCATCATAACAGGAGGTCTGAGAAATTATATATATTTATATTATTCTCTAAAATATAATATTATTTTTTTTGCCTTTTTATATCACTTATTTCAGTAGTTATCATAAATTAGGCATCATTTGAAAGCTTATAAACTCCGAATGCATCCTGTGAAAACAGTTTTATAATTTACCATAGAAGCGGTACTTATTTGATCAGGCTCCTCCCCTTTTGGTCATCATCATATTTCATAATTTATGATCAAAACCTTTTCTAATCTTGACAAAACACATATTGTCAGAAAGGTCCGAGTCTCAAGGTGACAGAAGTGATATTTGGACAGAAATGTATTAATTTGTTAAGGCAGAATGTATACAACTAAATTAAATGGAATTCAATGGCACCCAGTGGCTATTTTTGGTACTACGCCTAAACAAAATCTCATGGGAACTTCAATTTTTGTGATATCAACTTCAAATTTGGAACTACTTGGTTAGATGTATGGCTTTGATTTTATAGTAAAAAATATTTTGTAAAATATATATTTTATATAAAATAAAAAAACATATAGTACAATATATTTGATTTACTGTGAATTTAAACTTCCATAACTCTTTCATACTTTAATTTTTTGAAGTGTTTTCACTTCAGCAATAATCTCCTGAGTGTTTTCTTTAAAACAAGACCAAACTTGGGTATATTCCAAAGCACTCATGAATTACAACCATTTCAGTTTGCATAGTGCATTCTCAAAAAGGGGGGTGACAGCGAAGAGGCTAACCCACAGACACACACACACACACACACACTGATGATGATCTGGTGTCACTGAACCATTGTGTCGGTTACACCCTAAATTGCAGACCCACACACACTCAAACACACGATGATGATCTGGTGTCACTGAAGCGGTTCACACACTACCTTCAGTTTAGTTCCCACTCCGTCCGTTCCGGACACCAGGATCGGGTCGATGAATCCTGCAGCTTTCAGGTCGAAAAGCCCCGCGAACCCGCCGAGCTCCGCGTTACACCCTGAACGCATTTAGTGATTAGTAGCTAGCTAGTAATTAATAACTCAACACTGGTTGTGACACACACACACATACACACTCTCTCTCACAACCACACCTTTAAATTGAGGTTAGTGATTTGAACAAATCTCCTCTCACATCATAAACATGTTCATAACCGTATGACAGTAAATGTGGTTTTGTTTGTAGTTTGATTGACAGGCTGAAAGTAATGTAATTATGACTGACAGCGTGTTGAGTGATGTCGTTTGTGTCTTTGATCTCAGGAGCTTCCTGTCAGAAGAGTAAACCGCACATCAATCACTCAATCAGTGAGACGAGAACAGATTTCTGCTTCATATCGCATGTCAGCCATCATTTCTACTAAAGAAAATGACAAAAACAGTAACGCACAGAAACTTGGAGAAGTAACTAATCTAATCTAATTACTGGTTTGGAAACGGTAACGCGTTCGATTACCCGTTACTGAGAAAAAGTGTTCAGATTAGAGTAACGAGTTACCGGCATGACTGGACCCAACACTGGTTTTGACACACACTGACCCTCTCTCTCTCTCTCACACACACACACACACACTCTCTCTCTCTCAAATATAAGCATATTACAGTAAATGTGATTTTGTTTGTAGTTTGATTGACAGGCTGAAAGTAATGTTATTATGACTGACAGCGCGTTGAGTGATGTCGTTTGTGGCTTTGATCTCAGAAGAGTAAACCGCGAGTACACACACACCAATCACGCACTCAAGAGAACACTCGAGAGCGGAAAAATAATTCTGAACATCAGCGAAGTGAGAGGTCACCTGGTCGAGACGTGGCCTTGGCCAGAGGTTTGATCAAGTCCACGAGTGTGTTCCCCGCGCTGATGTCCACGCCACTGTCTTTATACGTCAGTCCTCTGTGGGACAAACACAACGCATCAAGCTCTTATCTGCACTAACACACACCGCCATGATGCAATGATTACTGCTTAAAATCAGAGAGAGCTCCCTGTTTAAAGGGAGAGTTCACCCAGAAATGAGAATTAGCCCATGATTTACTCTCCCTCGAGTCATCCTAGTGAACATCACAGTACACTCTTCTCTCAGACGAACGCAATCAGAGTTATATTAAAAATGTCCTGGCTCTTCCAAGCTTTATAATGGTTGTTTCTGTTTTGAGTCATGCACATTCATGATGGATAAATGCACTTTTATGATGGACAGACGCACTTTTATGATGGACAGACGCACTTTTATGATGGATAAATGCACTTTTATGATGGACAGATGCACTTTTATGATGGACAGATGCACTATGATGGACAGATGCACTTTTATGATGGACAGATGCACTTTTATGATGGACAGACGCACTTTTATGAGGATAGATGCACTTTTATGCATTGAAGAACCAGGACATTTGATTGTATATATAACTGATTTTATTCGTCTAGGATGACTTGGGGGCGAATAAATCATGGGCTGTCTTTTTGACTTTGTTTAATAGAAAAAATGTATACAAAATCACAGATGTAACACTTAAGATTTAATATCAGTGTTACATCAGTGAACGGGCTACAGTGTGAACACACACCTGGAGCGGGTGAGGTACGTGATGGCGCGGTGGGCGATGTCGCGCCGGTACACGGCATCAGGGAAGCTGATCGCGGCCACGGCTTCATTGGCGCAGCGTAAGGCGTTCTGAAGAGTGGGCCGGACCGCGGTCACAGTTAAGACACGCCCACCACTCGTAAGAACCCCGCCCCCTTCCTTGAGCACAGTGCCTGCATGGAACACCTGAACGCCCATCTCCGAAACCCGGGACAAACCTGGAGAACACAGCAATGATTCATTCACTTGACATCAAAACTGCCCAAGCAAAGTCAGTCTCTGCGCCTCAATATGCCTACTTGTGTACTGTATACTATATAGTGTGGAGAGGAACACGCTAGTACTATAGAGGATTTATGAATGGAAGCGACACTGTGGTAGATCACATGACAGAGAATGTAGTTCCTATTACATTGTATAGAACACACTCTTTTTTCTCAAAGCAAGATTTCAACCAAATTTAGTACCAGTGTGTGATATCGGACGCAGCAAGTCTGATGTAACCATGTAAAAAAAAACATTATTACAATATAATATTATTAGAATACTATAATATTTTATTAAAAAAATATATTATATAATTAATTTTAATATTAAGGTACTATTATATTATTAAGTATAATATAATAATATAACATAACATGTCCCAGATTATAAAAGACAGAAATACACTAGGACTCTTATTTTGAAATGCTTATGCTTTACTACTCCCAGCTGCTCATTCATAAATATAAGGGAGATGAAATATGCACTCCCACAACCATCTACTACAACTATGTTTTTTACAACAGGATTGACTGTTTATATTGTAATATGTTATAGATGTTTGTATGAGAGCATCTCCCTCATTTTTATTAATGAGCACCAGGAATTAGCAAAACAGACATGTCAAAATAAGAGTCCGATGAACTTGGTGCGAGAAAAATGTGGGACTTTTTAAAATAGAATAAATAAAAATAAAATAATAAAATAAAATTAGTCAGGTAACGCACCGGAGATCTCCAGACCCTTCTTATATGAGCCGGGATATCCTCCGCTGGCCATGACCACAGTGACGGCCGCACCGTCCTCCAGCCACTGCACCGGACTCGAGCTCAGGTCCGACCGGAGTGTGTTCTTCAACACCTCATATAGATCAGACTTCAGCAGCGGCATCAGGACCTGACACACACACACACACATTCAAGTGGTTATTCACCGTTTAATCTTTTCCCCTTCTGCTGTGGACCACCGAGTCTGAATCAGTGAACGATTCTGATTCTTAGAGTCGCTTCATTGCAATGATTCAGTTGACTGGATTCACAAATCTGACTCTTTCTGTGAGGAACAGACTGAAAATACTGAAACGCTGCGATCACATCAAATGGATTAACTGTGCTTCAATATTTCAGCCAATCCCTCACAAAACGCATCACATGACGCCAAAAGAGTTGTAACGGGTCATTCGGACTTCTGTTATGATGCTTTGTGTATCATTTATGGAACAGGGCTACAAGCCTGCAAGGCATTAAAACGAAATAATTCATCGTTCCCTGAAAGTCACAAGAAAAAAACAGTGATGTTGCCTGAGTGAATCTCTTTAACTGATCTGTTTACCTGAACACCCTGTCATTAAATCAACCGTATTATATTTCAGACGGTGAGATTTCGCCTCAAGGATCAACTGATGCTCACCCGAGATAGAACTTGGCAAAAGCATACAAACTTGAATAAAACGAGCCATAAATCACCTCACCTGACACTCGGGGTCACCGAAGCGACAGTTGAACTCCAAGACTTTCGGTCCCTGTTTAGTCAACATCAGTCCGGCGTATAACACACCTGAGGGATGAAGAACAACATCATTCTGTTCCAACTCAAGCTTCGGATTGAACCGGTTTAAAAATGTGTTTATTCCTTCTACAATTGAGTTATTAAATAACACCAAGTAGTTTTTTGGGGGGTGTGCGTGTGTGTGTTCCTCTCTCTCTCTTTAATGTGTGTGTTATTGTGTTATTATGTGATGCAGTGGCTGTACTTTTGAGCCCAAGACAAATTTCCCTCAGGGACAATTTTAACCAGATTAAAAAGTTAAAATATCTTATTTTTATGCTTAAATGTGATTGCTTTACATGCTTATTTTATGATCAAAGCTCTGAAGTTTAAAACATATAATGATGATAGAGAGATAAAAACAAAACAAAAGCCTGGCGTAGAGGCACACTGCCATGCTCCTTTAGGCTTTGGATATGTTATAATGTCTGTGCTTATTGTTTGTTTTGATGTTTTTATGTATGGATTGCCGAAATTCTCCTGTCTGCACAAAGATTTTACCCAAAAATAAATAAATAAATAAATAAAAAAAAAGGATCAAATCGCTTGTTTAATCCTGCCCCGTATTTACAAAATAATATTAAAACAACTTAAATAGATATGCAATTATCACATATGCACATATGCTAGTGCACACAGGCCACCAAATAACACGTTAGCGGACCGACGGAATAATATGTTTGGAATTTTTCCCAGAATTCAAGCACTTTCAAGGACTCTCTATGCGTGTTTATTTATTTTCAAAAAAACTTTCCACAGCCTTGCCTTTTTTCCTTCAGATTCACAAACTTTCAAGGACACGTGGGAACCCTGTGTGTGTGTGTGTGTGAGAGAGAGACTCACCCACATACGGCGTTCCCTCGTCTCTCATGCCGTCCACGGTCTTCTGCAGAACGCTCCTCTTGATCTCCTGAAGCTCTGCCTCTGACACCTTCACACACATTCGACAGCTCCATCAACACACACACACACACACATATATATATATACACATACACATACATATATATATATGAAAATATATTTCATACAGCTATCCAAGATAAAAATAAGACAGACCTGCACGATTCTGGATAGATTGAAACTCATATATATATGTATATATATATATATAAATAAAATGAAATCATTTTTGAATGCAATTTACTAGAGGTTCGAACAAAATGTATATGTAATTTCATTTCGTTGTCTGTTCAGAATCATGATCTCGGTTTGAAAAAAAAAAATAATAATAAATTATGTATATATATATATATATATATATATATATATATATTTTTTTTTTTTCCAAACCGAGATTTTTTTTTCAAATAAAATAAATGAATAAATGGGAAAAAAAATGCGAAATTTTTTTTATATATATATATATATAATTTTTTTTTCACATTTTTTTTCATTTAATTATTTATTTATTTTATTTGAAAAAAAAATCTCGGTATTCATTTATATTTTTATGATATATTTATTTATTTATTTATATTTTTTTATTATTTTTTTTTTCAAACCGAGATCATGATTCTGAACAGACAACGAAATGAAATTACATATACATTTTGTCCTAACCTCTAGTAAATTACATTAAAAAATGATTTCATTAATTCAAATTAATTAAACAAAATTGGTTTGAGAGAATGATTCAATGGCTCATTACTGGATGAATCAGCGTTTTTGAATCGTTACCTGAAGCGTCATGTTACTTTCAAAGAGTGATTTTCTCCATCGCTCCAGTAGTGTTGTTTATATTTCAACTTTTATCCCAGTACTTCTGTGATATTGTGTAGTTGTGTTCTACCTTATAACTGCTCTTTCTGTGTCAGTGGTATTGCAGATCTGAATCACTGTGATCACTTGTCAAAGGACATATTATACCCTTTTATAAAGTCTTGCTGTGTTTCAGGCTCGACTAGAACTTGAATGTTGATTATTCTCCTCATATTCTCCATTGTTGCGGCTCCTCTCTTCCCAGTCTGTCAGTAACACTCTGTTCACTTCCTGTCTCTATGAAGCCCCTCCTCCTGAAAAGCACACTGTGCTCTGATTGGTCGGCTGGATCAGTGTGTTGTGATTGGTCGAGCGCTTTGAGTGTGTTTGGGAAATGCCCCGCCCCTTTCCATAACCACCAGTTTAACACACTACTAACTCACTCAACCAGGCCCCGCCCCTTTATTCTGCACATTAATTATTATAATGAGGAATATTGTGACGTGTTCGTTCCCGGGAGAAACTCAAGACTACAATGGAGGCGTTCAGGAACACTGACACTGGCTATGTTTACATGCACAACTTTGGTTTCAACGGCAGAAAAGATCCAAAATGGTGGTGATTCAGGCAAGACTTCGAGATGTTGACCTGTGGTGTCGGGCAGTACGCGCCCATGCCGCCCGTGTTCGGCCCCTCGTCCCCATCCATCAGACGCTTGTGATCTTGAGCCGGCGGCATCGGTGACACTGTGACCCCGTCGCTGAAACACAAACACTGAGAACAGACAAGACGATTAGCCTGATCTGATCACCAGGACTTAAAGGGATAGTTCACCCAAAAGTGAGAATTAGTGCATGATTTTTAGTTATTCTAGTCTACATTTTTAATATAACTCTGACTGTATTCGTCTAAAAGAAGAAAGTCATATTCACCTACGATGACTCGAGGACTTGATTAAGTACTAATTTTCATTTTTGGGTGAACTATCCCTTTAAACAGGAAGTACTTACAGACACTTCCTCTCCTTCCAGCAACTCCTCCACTACCACAGTCTCACCAGCAGAGCCAAACGCCTTGTCCTGAAACGTCAAGAAATTAATCATTTACATTCATCAAAGAATCCTCAAAAATAAAATATGAAACTTTTTTCAACACTGATAATAATCATAAATGTGTCTTGATCATTAGATAATCATATTAGAGTGATTTCTGAAGGGTCATGTGACACTGAAGACTGGAGTAATGATGATAAATTCAGCTTTTATCACAGGATATAAATTACACTTTACTGTATATTCACATAGAAAACAGATGATTTACATTATAATAATATTCCAGTATTTTACTGTATTTTTCAAAAACATTATATATCTCAATAAGCCAAAAATACATCACATTTATATAATCAAATGTGTTGCTTGTATACAAATTACTACACATTCTGTTTTGTTCGATCTGTATATATTTATTGCATTATTTTGATTTGACTAAAATCGTCACCAGCTCACGTTTTGAATCAGGGAATTATTGTGAAATAACTGAAACACACACAGATCCTGTGCCAACATATGATCATCAGCGAGCGACTGACCTTCATGATGTCCAGAACCGCCTGACAGGCCTCGTCTTTATCGCGAGCGACTACGACACCCTTCCCAGCAGCCAATCCGCTGGCCTTCACCACCAGAGCGGGAAACCCCGCGCTGAACACACACAACGACACACACACTCTCTACTGAACTTTACAAGAGTGCGATGTAATGTTTTTAGATGGTGGTGGTTGAGGAGATCCCCCCCTCTATGTAAAGCGCTTTGAGTGCTGAGAAAAGCGCTATATAAATGTAATGAATTATTATTATTATAGATGCATCTTAAAGCCAGCATGAAATCCTTAAAGTAAAAAAAAATCATTTTTTTCTTTTAAAAGGAATCATGCTAACATGATTAGCATGTTACTAGCACGATTAACATGCTGCTAACAACAAACTAACCATGTTAACAATGATAAACAACACAAGCATCTTGATTAAAACATGTTAGCAACATGCTAATTGTGTTATCATGCTAACGATTCAAACAAATGCTAAATGAGTTAGCATCATGTTAACATCTAGTTAAAAACAAGATTTGGTTAACCTAACGCTAATCATGTTAGCAACACGCTAATCATGTTAACATTACGCTTGTAACAAGCTAATGATGTTAACATCATTTAAGAGACATGCTAATTGTGTTAGCATTGTATTAATCACAGGCTAGTTATATTAGTATGATGCTAACAACATGCTAATTGCGTTAACATATTCTTAAAGCATGATAACAGCTGTTAATTAGGTTAACGTTATGTTAACATCATGCAGATCATGTTAGCATCATGCTAATTGTGTTATCAAAACATGCTTGAAACAAGCTAATTATGTTAACAACATGTTAATCATGTTAGCATCATGTTGACACCATGCAAAATAACATAATGAGTTTTTTGAATCTCACTCGGCTATACGATATAAGGGAAGAAAAGACTAGCGCAACTTACATTACATGCCGACTTTAAAATGTGCGTTTTATGATAATTTGAATTAATTTACTCAAACAGAATATTGTTTTTTAATCATATTTTGTGTGCGTTTACCCTCGGATGTATTCGCAGGCCTCCTGTGGGTCGGTGAAGGAGCTCCAGCGGGCGGTGGGAATGTTGTGACGGTCCATGAAGGACTTGGAGAAACTCTTACTGGCTTCCAGCTGCGCAGCCTTCGCCGACGGGCCGAAACACGACACGCCGGCGGCCGTCAGATCGTCCACGATACCTAAGACAGACTCCTTCAGTCATCAAGAGCACAACATGTGGAGATGTGCCACATTTGCGCACAAACATCTACTAGAACATGCATGTTTAAGTGCTAAAACATGCTAAAATGCTAAATTATTAAACCATGATTCAAAACAAGTCTAAATGTGTTAGCATCATGCTAAAACATGCCAACAACATTAGTGAGGCATTAAAACATGATAGCATTATGTTAACAAACATCTTAGCATGTTGCTTACAAGATGTTAACAATATGCTAATTGTGTTAGCATGATGCTAACCAAGATACTATCATGCAAGCAACATGCAATTTGCTTGCATGATAGTATCCACCGCCCGCTGGAACTCATCGAGTTAACATCATAGTAGCAACATGCTAATTGTGGTAACATTATACTAGCAGCATGTTCATCTTGTTAAAAATCATACTAGTAGCAACATACTAACAAAATGCTAATCATGTTAATGTCATGCTAATGTAATTTTAGGAAATAAATAAAATAATAATGAAGAGACAAAGCATCTTACCAGCAGCGAGAGGAACTTCTGGACCAACGACCACGAGTCCCACGCTATGATCCTTACAATACTGCGCTAAAATACTGTGATTGTTCACAGACACCTCTGGAAAAAAATAAGAGACAATATTATAACTAGGGTTGGGTATCGTTTGAATTTGAACGATTCTGATTCTGATTCCGATTCCTTGTTTCGATTCCGGTTCCTAACGATTCTCGATTTCGATTCTTTTAAGAGGCAGGGTCAAAAAAGTTTAGCTAACCTTGCTAACCAACGGTCTTTCTGAAGGAAATACTTCTTCTGTCACAAATACTTGTCACAAATTTTGCATTTTGCCGAGATTTCGTTAATTTTTAGAAAAGTGAAGCCACACTTTGGACCGCCGACGTAAGGTACTCATGTTCGACCCGCGCGGTTATGCCAACACTTCCGGTAGACGCTTCTTCGTTGGTGTTGTTCAGCGGTTTCTTCTTCCGCTCGGCGGACTGTGAATATCGAAACTAGGAATTGAAATTTTAACTTTTCAACGATTCCGGGAAAAACGAAAAGTTAGTCCCGGTTCCAATCGATACTCGATTCTCGATACCCAACCCTAATTATAAACATATAACAAGGTTCCACATTCATCAATGCATTTTAAAATATTTTTTTTTTCCAATGCATGTTAAATTTATTAACATGTATTAACAGCGTAACATTTATTAATGAAACAATGGATTATCATGTACACGTCATACTTGTATTTTTAATTTGTAAGTACTCAACTAATCGATTACTCTGATTCTCGAAGCGCATTTTAATAATAATTTATATTATATATAACTAACATTTTTCTCTTAATTTATACATGTAATGCATATGTGTGTATTAATATATTCAACAATTATACACAGCACACACAAACTTTTATTTTGGATGCGATTAATCGCGATTAATCGTTGCCCAGCACTGATTTTTTTCAATGCATGTTGTTCTTTTAGAAACGTGTTGGATGTTAAACCTCCAAGTGAGCCGTAGACAAACAATAATGAATAAAACACGATGCATTATCATGAAAGCTTGTGTTCTGAATTCGTCACGACTCACCCGAGTTGCAGATCTTGCCGCTATTGGCCGTGCCGGCGTTCCCAGGAGCCACGAGGACCTGCTGAACGAGAGGCGACTGCGCTAATTTCCACGCTAGTGCGTGTTCACGCCCTCCACTTCCCACCACCAGCACCCGCTCCGCCATGACCTCTGACCTGTGCGGTCACATGACCTCAACATAAACACATGCAACGATCCCATATGCGACAACAATATCAATATGAAGAGTTGGACTAGTGTCAAACTAATAAATAAATTTATTTAAAAAAAAAGAAAAAAGTAATCGTTTAAAAAAAATAATTTTTTTAATAAATAATAATCTGTAAGAAGAAAAAAAAAATCACCCTTTAATTAGTGTTTAATAATCTTATGCAACACTACTGCCATAATTATGAGACCAAAGGCTTAACTCTTCCATTTACTTAGTTATGGAGTCGAAAAATAAAGCAAATAATTTAATTAGTGTTAATTTGTGTTAAATTAATAGATCTCGTTCTCAACGATTGCCATAATTATGAGAAATTGTGCTATTTAATTTAGTTAATAAAAAATACATAAATAAATATGAATTTGAAAGAATAAAACTGTAACTACATTCAATAATTTTAAATACATATCTTAATAAATAATTAATAAGACTAGAGCAACATCCCTTTCATTAGTGTTTAATTACAGCAACATCTTGAGCAAAACTACTGGAATTATAATGAGACCTTAGACTCAACTTTGCTATTCATTTATTTAACGTGTCAAAATAAAATAATTGAACATTATTAGTAGGGCTGTCAAACGATTAATCGCATTCAAAATAAAAGTTGTAATATAATAGTAATATATGTGGGTGCACTGTGTATAATTATTTTGTATTTATATAAACACACACATGCATGTGTATTTAAGAAAAAATATTATTATTATTATTATATAAAATACTTATATATATAATATAAATTATATATAAATCTATATACATGAAAATATATACAAGCATGTGTGTGTATTTATATATAAAATAATTATACACAGTGCACCCATATATATTATGTATGTAAACACAAACTTTTACGCAACTTTGGATGCGATTAATCGCGATTAAGCATTTGACAGCCCTAATTATTAGTATATAATTTAATTAATAAAACACTACAATTAAGTAAAATAATTTTAGTATTTTAAACAAAAAAAGTGGAAACACTTTACAAGTAGTTCCTTTAAGATAGTTTATTCATGCATTAAACAATGAGCAACATCATTTATAGTTAATAAAAACACAGTTGATTGTTAGTTCATGTTAGCTCAGGTCCATTAAATAATATGAACAGATACAACATTTGATTTGAATAATGTATTAGTAAATGTTGAGTTTAACATCATTAAACGAGAATATTAAATGCTTTAGTTGTATTTTCCATTGATAGTTCACGTTAATTAATATAGCTAACAAATACATTGTGTATTTATCAAACAATTTAATTAACTTTCACTATTTGCATGCAAATAGTTTGTATATCATCTAAAGAGGCGGTTTGATTGGATGCAGTGTTTGACCTATAGGATGCACCGATGCGAGTTTGATCATCCCCTGCCATTGACCTTTCAGTGCTGATGCCAGACCTTAAATCCCAGCAGACATTAGCATCACACACACCTACAGAAGCACTGCAACAAATCACTGTGCATTGCATTTGCATGAGAACACCAACAATTAACTCTGAAAACAAGACTCTTTAAGTTGAACTTTGGCTCCAAAACCCACTGACACAATTCCTCGTGTTGAGCAAGAGTTGGTGTGGATAACTGATGATCACAAATCAATTAAACACACAATCACAGGGAGTATGTTAACAAGCATCACATGAGTGACTCGCATCACGAGATTCGGCGTTTGCTGCTCATTTGCTTACTTTTTAGACGTTATAAGAACACTAAATGCAACACATATATGCATGCATGCATAATAATGATTATGCATTAGATCGATCTTGAAATGCATGAGCAATTATCATGCACGAACATGTTTTGCTGTTTCAGACACAACTCTTATAAAAAAATATGGTGGCACTGTTGTAGTTGTAAAAGGATTCACATATTTAATGTCATAATGAATCATGATATTACCATGTTTTATGAATATGTCTAAAAAGAGGTTTTACATACGTACAAAAAAGACAAGATATTATCATGAAACATATTCAAAAACCTGTAAAACATTCATTCAGCACTGCACAATAAATCATGATGCAACATCAGTCAGACTGCTAAAACAACAAATAACTTTCATGCAGTTTCTGAGTTATCTTCTTTAAGTTGTTATGCCGAGTATCTGTTGCTTCTGTAATAGTAATTGCTCACTTACGTTGTTTCTGATGAAGTGCAGGGTACAGTCGAGATCCTGTGTCTCGATCAGGTCGTGTTTGCTGGACAGAAGAAGACCAGAGTGTGTTTAACACAACAAACCACGTGCGGACAGGCTAGTGACGTTCGATTCGCGAAGCGAATCATTCTTTTGAATCGGTTGTTTTGAATGATTTGATTAGATTAGTGACTATAATCTGAGGTGAGATCATAAACATAGTTTCCATACACCACGATGAATGAAAGTTTGTTTTCACCACATGTGGAAAAAATACTTGCAAATTTTTACCTCATTAACCTTTTTGTCCCTCATAAATTCCGTGTTTACATCTCAATTGCGACAAAAGTAGGAAATGTTCGATAAAATACGCAATTAGCTATTTTTATTCCATGGCGAAATCTTCCTTAATATGTGTATATGAAGTGTAGCCTATATCTCGTGAAAACAGTAATGTTCAAATTTTAATTCAGTTGATCAATTGAATCGAACTGTCCTAATGAATCGATTCGCTACAAATGAACCAGACTCCTTGACGCTAAACTCCACACGTTACAAACAAAATTAAAGAATTACAAACCGTGTCGTAGATCTGGGATATGAGATGGATGTGTAAAACAAATATATAATATAGTGTTTGGAAGTCTAAATACCCTTCAAGTTGCAAGTTTCAGTTCGATCAACTTCCTTTCAGGGGAATTTTGGGAAATGTAGTTCCAGAATCCTCCAGGAATGTGCAAAGGTTTCCTATTTCTATCATAATAAATCCTTAAAAAAATTCCAACACAACACAAAACAAACTAGATCTTTTGATAGGTTCCTAATAGGACTAACATGTGCATTTCTTGCCTTTTTTATTTGATAAACGCTCAAACAACATGAAAAAAAAAATATTGTTAACACAAAACACATCTATTTAAAATCCCAAAGACATGATATTGATCCTTAATAACTTAATCAGCTGTAGATTTCATCATAATCAACATGCACTCTTAAAAATACAGGTTCCAAAAGTTTATTTTTACAGAAGAACCATTTTTGATTCCACAAATAAGCTTATTTTTCTTAGTGCAAAGAACATTTGAATAATCTAGAACCTTTTTCCACTATAAAGAAGCGTTTGAGGAGCGTAAAGGCTCAAGTTGAACTGCATTTGAGGAGTGTGAGCTGAAGTGCAGATTCACAGCAGAGGCAGCTCCGGCGTGTGGAGGAGCTCTCGCCCGACGTCCGAGTCTCGGAGAGCGAAGAGAGTCACTCCAGAGCTGTACGCCGCGGGGATCATCAGGTGCGACGTCTTCGGCCGCTCTTCGTCCTTCCGCTCTTCTTCCCTGATCATCTCTCTAACCTGACCTGTAATTAAAATAAACCCGCGGTCAGTCGCTCAGTGCATTAGCTGGACGATAGAGGTGACATTTACAGTCCACTGAACAAAGTGAAAATATAGTGTGCATTAATACACGGCTGTGTGGAATACTTGATTCTGATTGGCTCACTGGGAATGTTTTTTCTCTGTGGAAGTTTTGCTTTTGTCGAGCTAATAAAATATTAATACTCAGTCGAATCAATATTTTGTGAGGAGGTATTTAATTATGCCATTCAGTATCGTGGACTCGCTCTCTCGTTATATTACGCAACGGCGGCCATTTTGTGACTATTGTTTTGTACACGGTTGGATTGTAAGATACAAACAAGTGCGATTTTAAAACAGTTTACTCTGAAAATATCTCTGATCTCCATAATTATTTATGTGTTGAAATGCTGTGTGATAAGTCGCTCTCTGTTTAAAGAGCTGATCAAATATTTCAACTCAGTTTAATGTTTCGCGTCAAATTATTTACTGATGTGTAATAATCAGGATAATGAACATCCAGACGGTTGTTATCTCAGAATAAACCCCTTCAGGCTGATGGAAGACTCTGATCACCTGGTGTACAGGTACACGTTGAATGTACATCATCAAAAAGTCAAAAGATGGCGCAGTACCCTCCACATTTAATGTCTTCCAGCGCAGGTCGGGATGCTGATCTGAGATCTGTGATAGGTCAACATCTGGTGTCAGTCTCTTCAGAACATCCTCCCGGCGAATGAGCAGCACAGACTCGCTGCAAAGACGCTCATGAACCTCCTCTTCACTCACTGTGGAAGAAAACAACAAGTGTAGGATCTAAGAAGGAACACAAAGGAAATGATTATGTACACTGTGTTCATTTCAAAATAAAAGTCCCGCTTCCGACACATCAACCCAAATAAAAAAAAAAAAACATAGATTATAAAAAATAGCCAAATATCGGCCAATATTTCAGTCGACCACTAGTTTTTATTTTTACTGTAGTATAATAGTTTACTGTTGTTTAACTATACTACAATTAATAATTATTTAACTTTAACTTTACTTTAGCTTTCATATTTTCAGTTTTCGTTTTACTAATTTTTTTATGTGCTTTTTTAAAAAAAAAAGTGTTCTTTTTACACACAAATCAAATAAACGTATCAGAGTTATTTTAGTATAACTGATATACTATTTTAGTTGTAATGAATATTTTGAATCAGGTTTTATTTTGCGTTCTTTCACTGACTAGATATATTTATAATAATGTCGGCCACTTTTTACTGTTAACGTAAGAAATTAAGCATTATCAGGACCAATGCATTATACATTATATTCAACATTATATAATGTAGGACTGACACTAAAACTCAAAACAATTTTTTTTTTTCTCACACAGTAATTTTATATTTTGATTGAACTATCCACGATACATATTGTTACATTTTTGTATTGCGAAATATTGTGATTTGTGACACAATATATTGTTACACCCCAAACACAGTGATTTGTGACGCACCCACATCCAGAGGGTTGGTCATGAACACGGCTCTGGGTCCCACGCCGAAGATGAGCTGGTGGTGCCAGGCGTCGGGGATCTCCTCTCCTTCGGGAACGGCTTTCTGCATGTTCATGGTGGCGACGGGAACGGCTCCACGCAGGATCCACCGGGCCAACCAGGGCACCAGCTTGACCCTGCGGCGGGGAAAGAGCCCGAAGAACCGGCCCACGACGAGCCCCGCGCTGGCCTGGTGCGCCCCGTCGATCAGCTGCAGGTGCGTCGCCCCTGGAGGAGAACAGGGGTATTACAGAGCAAAACACAGTATGGCTAAATAGAAATATATTTAAAGGGACAGTTCACCTAGAAATGTAAACTCTGTCAGTAATGACTCTCCCTCATGTTGTTCAACCCCGTAAGACTTTCGTTCATCTCCAGAACACAAATTAAGAGCTGGATCACTCCTCCATAGGCTTCTATTGTAATTGAAACTGTGACATTTACTGTGAAAAATGTGTATTATAAATGTGCAAAATATTTAGTTTTTATTACATTACATCATTGTGTGCTTTTTTGGACTCACTGTAATAATGTACTTTTATTCATTACATTTTATTATTTATTTAATGATTTTTTTTTATCAATCTGTTAGATGCAAAGAGACGCCCATCCTAAAACGTAAGCTTTATACTTCCATATATTATAAATATGCAAAGTATTTAGTTTCTATTACATTACATCATTGTTTTTGATTGGACTTCTAGATGTATTTTGTTTATTTATTTAAATATTTCTAATTTATTTAATAACTCAAATTCCATTTGTTTTAGTATTTTTTTATTACACTGAATTAACAATTTTTTTATTTAGTTTAGTCTCATTTTTACCTTTCTACGTTGCTTTTAAGCTTTATTTATTTAAATAAGGTTTTTTAGTTTTTATCATTTTATATTTCAATCAAATTACTTTTTTATTTATTTATTTTAGTCTAATGTATTAATTTAGCCATTTAATCAGGTTTTAATTTAAATACAGTTGCATTTATTTTATTTCAATACAATTATTTATGTTTTCATTTGTTTTATTTTATTGTACAAAATTATGTATTTATAATAATATTTTATTGTATTATTGCACAATCAATTCTGTTTTTTAAAATAAAATGTATTCATAAAATTGCTCCCTCATGTTGCTCAACCCCGTAAGACTTTCGTTCATCTCCAGAACACAAATTACGAGCTGGATCACTCCTCCTTAGGCTTCTATTGTAATTGAAACTTGCCGGCCCAGAAAGTTATTAAAGACATCGTAAAAATAGTCCGAGTGACTACAGTGGCTCAAGATTATCACGCGACGAGAATACTTTTTAAACAAAAATAACAACTTTATTCAACTCTTCATGTTGTTCTCTGTGGGCCTCGAGTGAGCGCTACTGGGTTATACGTCACACGCAGGCTCACTATTGGCCGACGCTGGTCATGTGATGTGTGTGACGTACAACCCAGAAGAATTGTTACACTACGCGAAATAAATACAGGTAAAACTCGAGAGATTAGAATATTGTGATGATTATGGATTACAGATATGAAAACCCCAAATTCAAACCTTTTCACAATTTTCTAATTTTGAATTTGGGGTTTTCATATCTGTAATCCATAATCATCAAAATTATAACAAATAAAGGCTGAAAAATCTCACTTTGCATGTAATGAGTCTATATAAGTTGAATTACTGAAATAAATTAACTTTTGCACGATATTCAAAATTTTCGAGTATCACCTGCACATTGCTATATAGTTAACAATATAATTGTGCAATTAATTCTCATACTATATTTTCAAATTGTTTGGGAATATTTTTCCTCCCCCCAAATGTGCCAAACACTGTGTCGAGTGTGAAGTGAAGGCTGTGGAGAGCGGGGTGTACCGGCGTTGCTGCGCGAGTGCAGGTAGTCGTGCAGCGGCGCCGTGTTCCTCCTCAGACTCGTCCTCACGCAGGAGTTCACCGTCTCCGGGGCGACCGCGATGATGCCGAGCGCCTGCAGGACGTCCACCAGGGCCGTGGCTCCGCACGCAGAGATCCCGATCTGAAGAGTCTGCCTCTGGACCGCCTCCTGGATGCTCCACAGCATCGCCGTGTGGACCTCAGACCCGGCAGAACCCTCGGGATCTTCAGAGCCCATCGACTCCATCTCTGCTGGAGACACATGCAAACAACATGTCAGGGCTTTTCAATCTGTTACCATCCTCGTGCAAGGGACGCCCATCTTGACATTTACTGTGAAAAATGTGTATTATAAATGTGCAAAATATTTCGTTTTTATTACATTACATCATTGTGGTTTTTTTTTTTTGGACTTTTACTTTTATTTATTACATTTTATTATTTATTTAATGATTTTTTTTTAAGCCAGGGCTTTTGAATCTGTTTTTAATCCATCTTAAAACTTAAGCTGTATACTTCCATATATTATAAATATGCAAATTATTTAGTTTCTATTACATTACATCATTGTTTTTTCTTGGACTTCTAGATGTATTTTGTTCATTTATTTTAATAACACAAATTGCATTTATTTTAGTATTTTTAATTACATTGAATTCACATTTTTTTAATTTAGTCTCATTTTTACCTTTCTACGTTGCTTTTAAGCTTTATTTATTTAAATAAGGTTTTTTAGTTTTTATCCTTTTATATTTCAATCAAATTACTTTTTTATTTATTTATTTTAGTCTAATGTATTAATTTAGCCATTTAATCAGGTTTTAATTTAAATACAGTTGCATTTATTTTACTTTAATACAATTATTTATGTTTTCATTTGTTTTATTTTTGATCAATGTACAAAAATTATGTATTTATACTAATATTTTATTGTATTATTGCACAATCAATTCTGTTTTTTAAAATAAAATGTATTCATAAAAGTCATAAAAAGTAAAAATCTTCAATACTTCATTTTTACACGTATTATTTAGTTTTACATAAAAAAATTAAATAAGACACAAATATTTATTTGTTTTAAACTGTTTAGAATTATAAAACTATGACGTGCTGTACATTTATAATTATTAATTCTGACTAATATATATATATATATATATATATTCATATATATATATATATATATATATAATATATATATATATATATAACATATATATATATATATATATATATATATATATATATTCGTATTTATTTTACAGTACCACGCACTCGAGTGCATATGGTTTTAGCATCGTAAAGCATGTTTGGAGCAGCATTTTACCACGGTAGAATAAAATCTGTGACAGCGATATTTTAGTGTTCCGATGAACCTGAACCATGTCAACACGTTCATTCTACCGGGAGCCTTTCAGTTTTCATACATCACGACGCTCGCTGCACATTTCAGGGTAAAACATCTCTTTCTGATTAAAATATATTATGTAAATATGACAAGACGACTAAGAAAAAGCATTCAAATGAAGCATTTGGTTCAATACAAACCGCTTCAGCTCGAGGAACTCGACTTAACTCCTGACGGGCTCTGGTTTGTTTTTATTCCTTGATTAGCTCTCGTGACTCAGTTACTGAGCTGTGATTGGATAGGGAAGGACTCCGTCAATGTGCTGTGATTGGATAGGGAAGGACTCCGTCAATGAGCTGTGATTGGATAGGGAAGGACTCCGTCAATGTGCTGTGATTGGTCTATCAGATGGTCTATTTATTTTGCGCATGACTCCGAGATAAAAATTCTGAATGAAAAACTTGTATGGAAGCCTATTTCCGCAGGAAGAAAAATCATGCTTAGGCAAATCTTACAAAAGTTATAATTATGACATAATAAGTGACTGCAAAATCATGACAAAAACATAGATTACATAATACAAAACATATATAAATAAAATGTGATGATTATGTAGAAAAGTCGACATTGTGACAAAAACATGCATGATTATGACACTATGCGACATGCTTATTTACAATTATGACATTAAAACATAAATATGACATAATTATGGTAAATTATAATTATAAGTCAAAATATGACAAAAAACTTGCCTAATCTTACAATAAAGTCATAACATTGGGGCATAAAAAAAACATAAATATGACATAAAAGTAGAACGTATGACATAAAAACAATACATATCACTTAATAATAAGTGAGATAAAATAAATAAATAAATAAATAATACGATCGATTTACGTTTCAGACAAGATTTACGTTTATTTGGCATGATTTTCTTGTAAGAGTAACACGAATGGCTGATGTCACGAGTGCAGATATACTTTCGCTTTCGATGACATTTTAAAGTGAGAGTAAAAAGTGAGCGTGTTTCAGTCAGTGAAAGCGGGCTGATGAACAAACATCTCCGACGGGAACGATGCAAACTCCAGCTCGAGATCTGTGTAGATTGTGAACACGTGACCCTGTAGAGATGAGAAGGGCCTGAGTGAGATGATTCTGTCCTCCGGAACCCGAACTCGACCCATTCGCCTCAGAGGATTTACATTCGCGTTGGTGCTGCTGTCGACATGCGCGTGCACGGGTGAGTAGCGTTACAAGCCCAATGGGATGTTGAATGGTGTTATTATCATTATTTTTTAAGTGGAAATCAACTATAAAAAATAATTATCTCTCTATTCTGTTTTATTATCGTATTATATCCGGGTAGGGTAGTTAATAAAGTAGCCTATTCATAAAAGTCGTAAAAAATTCAAAATGAAAGATGTTTTTTTTTCTTCTTTTTTTATATTTATTTACAAATGATAACAAACCCAAAAGGAGGTTTTTGTCAGATTTATTACTTCTGGGTGCAAATTTGTGCCGGCTAACAAAAAATGTCTTTTTTTTTTCTTGGTTAGCCTATGTGAACGTTAAGGGAAATTCCATCTCATCCTTCTTCAAACATTATTATGGAAATGTTATTTTTTAATATTCTCTGAAACAAGTACCATACCTTCCACTAACGCGTTTCAGAAAAAAAAACCCCCCAATAGCCTAAATAAAGATTTTTTTTTTTGTGCCAATGTTTTGAAAACATTGAACGATCGTTCTGTCAACATTACCGGAAGAACGTTTGTTCATAACTTGACTCGTTCGGCTAGTGTGCCAGTTAAATTCAATTGCTGTCTTCCCAAATAATACATTACAACAGCGATAATAAAAAAAGCGAACAAAACGATATCTTTGTAAACAATTCAATGTGAGGGGCAAATCACATGACCTGTCATTTACGCCGTCATCACCCGCGAGTTGCTAATGTAAACATTCAAAAGCAAGATCTGTGGGCGCAGCATGTGGTGTGTGTGTGTAGTGTATGCTACTCATCTCAGACAGCGCGCAAATATTGAGTTTTGTTTTATTAATAGAGTGTATACTTTTTCCTTGATTTACCCCGAAAGAACATGCCCCATAGGTGGGGTACATTGGTAACATCACCATGCTATCTGATATAATCAAAAAAAATATATATATATACAAGTCAAACCAAAATATTTTCTTAATGAAATTCAATTATTAACTTTTTCATATAAAATAATGGCATTTTTTAATAATTAAAAATAAACAAATTTTTGAGTTTGACAACAAACACACCGTAAAACACAGCTAGAACATAGTTCAAAACAAAATAATAATCTGAACATTGCCTCTCAGTGTTTATTTACACGTTTCTCATGTTTTCTCAATAGAATTCATAAAAGTTCAGAATATAATAGCTTATTTCTATTAGGGGCACATTGTAACGCAGTGTGACAACATGCCCCAACTGAGGTTTAAACCCTGCTAGTGTCTTAGCGAAATATATAAACTGTTAAACAACAGATTGGAGATTAAAATAATATCAGATTTGTCTAATTTTAAATAAACACAAAAAAATAGACATGAAAAATAACTTAAGTAAAAAATATACTTTTGCTATGGTTAAATAAATGTTCAATGATATCTTACAAAGATTTCGGATTTTGGCACAATTTTTTTTCCAATAGTGTTGAAATGGCAACTAAATACACCAAGTTTCGTCATGCTAGCATGTGTGGAAGTATTTAAAGCAAGTGTGTTAGTACTATCCCTGCGTTACGTTGTGCCCGGCGCTCCCCTAGTCTAATGCTTAAAGTAAAATTATATGGTCAAGATAGTTTAAACACAATACGCTATTAAACTCAATCTTATCCTCAAGCATAGGGTGATATGTTAATTAATCAAAAAGCAACGCCACTGCCGGATACTTATAGAAGACAAGAGGTTGTAATGTTAAATTAGGGCGCAAAGGCATTGTAATTTCTGCATCTATTAAAGTATTTATTAGTAATACACTGGAAATTTAATTAGTAGAAATGTGAATGTTTGGTTAGTATGCTTATTTACGGTGTGTGTGCTCCTACATTTTCTGGTTGTGCCCCTACAACTTTCAGTTGGCGGCCATTGTGCTCCTAGGTAAACAAGTTAGTCTGGAGCCCTGTAATTATACGAAAGATTTATGACATAAAAACATATATATGACATGACACATTGACATTATGACATAAAAAGCCATAGCTGTGATATACTAAGTTACATGCTTTTTGACATTTAAAACATAAATATGACGCACAAAAGTGATAATTATTGGATAAGAAGTCCAAGATCAAGTTGACATTGACATATGAAACATAAATAGTCATAATTATGCCATAAAAAGTAGACAATATGACATAAAAAACATACATGACATAAAAAGTCATAATTATGAAATGAAAAGTCAAAATTATGACAAAAATTCACACTGTAAAAAATATTTTCAAGATTTGTTATCACAACATATTTTCTTTTGTCAAATCAACTTTATAATCATTTATTTAGTTGAGATAACTTATTATTTTGAGTTTCTGATGGTTAAATTAATCTCCTTCATTGTATTAACTCACTTTTTCCAGTTCAATCAACTTAAAATTTTAAGGCAACCCAGGTTACTTACTTTTTTAAGTTAAACCAACAATTTTTTTTACAGTGTAATAATCACAACATTTTTTCTTTAGTCAAATCAACTTAAATAATTCATTCAGTTCAGATAACATATCATTTTGAGTTTCTGATGGTTAAATTAATCTCCTTCATTGTATTAACTCACTTTTTCCAGTTCAATCAACTTAAAATTTTAAGGCAACCAGGTTACTTACTTTTACTTTTTTAAGTTAAACCATCAATATTTTTTTACAATGCATTAAAAAACAAGGAAAAATTGGGAAAACAACAAGTTTTTGTACGAAGATTTTTTAAAACACTGAACGAACGTTTTATTACAGTTTTTCTCAGTCGCTTTGGTGTATTTCTCGACTCATCCTCGAAACAGTAAGTGCATTTCTCGAAATAATCCATAAAAATAGCAACACAATAATTTCCGTCTTGCTCAACATCCTCAGTTCATCTCTCAGAAGTCAGTGAACGTGCATCAGAATGGCCTTGTGTCGTTGTGTTCGGATAACACAGTCACATTAGTTTGTTGACAATTATTGTAAATTGTAGGTTACACACCTCAGTGTGTGGGAGTTTGATTCCAAGATTCACAATTACGCTTTTACTGTTCACTGCGATACAGACTGTGTACCACAAAGAAAAACAAACAAAAAAACAAAAGTAGAAATGTGAACAGGCCAGATTTAGATAAAGTCTAATGGACAAGTGTAGAAATACGCTTTATGAAAACTTGTTCAACCATTTTGCATGTGAAGACTTGTGACTATTGCCTAATGTTGTGTGGGTGGGTGGGGTACTATTCAACAGAGACCCATTAGAACACAATTTGATCAACATGAGGAATTGATAATGTAGGAAACAGCAGAGAATCGCACGTAATCATTCGCATGGATGTACCAAAACATTCGCAACTTGTTCAAAGAAATGAGAAACTGCTTTTGTGATGTGGCCAAAAGAGAAATGCACCAAAGCGACTGAGAAAAACCGGAAGTTCATAACTTTGAGAGAACCTTTGAGAACCGTTCTCTTGATGGTGAATCTGGTATCTGAGATGATGATGATGATGATGATGATGTTGGGTACACACACAGACTGCGCTGAACACAACGTCACGGCCCAGGCCGGAGGAGCTGCGGTTCTGCCCTGCACGTGTCCCTCGGGTCAGCCTCCATATCTGGTCTGGCAGAAGGCCGCCGGTGAGCAGATGCTCGTGGTCTACAACTACAGAGGAGAAGACGACAAAGACGATCGAGCGGAAGAGTATCGTGAGCGAACAGAGCTGACGGGGAACTGTTCTCTGAAGATCCTCAGCGTGACTCCATCAGACCAGGGCCTGTACCAGTGCTACTATCAGATACGACCCGTCCGACAGGACGACATCTATCTGCAGGTCACAGGTCAGTGCAGTGCGTGTGTGTGTGCTTACATTGAGGAACAATAACAACTTAAAAAACTATTTTGTTACTAATAAAATAAGTAATTTTCGTTTAGTTTAACTCACTAAAGCACTAAATTTACAAAAATGAAACTAAAATATAATTTTTTAACAACCATATACTGTATATATATATATATATATATATATATATATACAGACACACACAGTAAAATCATAGAAATAAAATAAA